GCGGATAATAATAAATTTAATAAATGCATTATTCAACGTGCACCCTTTAAAGAGCTAAAAACCATACGAGCATGATATTATAAAAAAAAAATCGGCGCATAGAAAACCGACGGTGGTATTTCGTGTACAGTCATTGTGCGCATACCGAACAATGTTATTCGTGTGTTAGACCTTGTCACATTTTTACTTGTTATTATTGTATTTGTGTGCGTACGTGTTCGTATGTGTTTTCGTGTGTGTACATGTGTGTGTGTGTGTGTGTGTGTGTGTGTATGCATATAGTTTTTTTTTTTTTTTCACACTCTACGTACGTGACGAGATTGGCCCGACGACGCGGAGAGTTGAAGAGTTGAAGGCGCGTCCGTCAAACCGCAACGGCGGCGACTGTGGTGGCTTGGGAAAGAAAATAAAAAAAAAAAAAAAAATTGAAAAAAAATCTAACTTTATTTCGTCGGTTCGCACGTCGACGATGTAGTACCGTCCATGGCCGCGGCGGCTCATTCGGTCGTTTTGCTTTCGTGCGAGCAAAAACGTATTTTATTCCTTTCCGATCTGTACGTGCGCAGTGCGCGCGCACACGTAAGCACGTGATGTATTATGTTATTATACACGTGTGTGCGAACTATCTGCAAAACATCAAAACTCGTATTGATTTTTTTTTAAAATATAAACGGCCGCGCCCGTGCATCCGAGCGTGTGTACGTATGCGATGTACAGAGTGCTCTAAGAAGTGTACGCGATTCAAGCTGAAATCGCAGTAGCCATATAGCGTCCCGACTTTTTGATCTCTCTGTACGCATGTGTGCGCGTGCGATCATCGGAAAACTATTGTAAATCGTGTCCTCTTTAACAATGCGTTTTCGGATCAATACAATGATGACCGCCGAAAACGGCGAAGACCATTACGGCATATTTATACGTACAATAATATACGTTTCGCATGATATGCGAGCGTTTTCCGTTGCGTACAGATCAGACCTGTACAAATACGGTTAAAATAATTATACTCGCGCGTAGAACACTATGGATTATCAAAACGTTTTCGTCTTCGCCAAAAAAATTCAATTATAATAATAAAATTCGAATAAACAGGTACGCTCATACATAATGTCGTATCATCATGTATAATGCACACATTAATTTTCATTGATTTTCGCATTAACATAATTTTTTCAAATACAAATCCCATGCATGTTGCTTATGAGTTTAATACGTATTGTATCTCGTTTTCAATCATTACCGAAAATAATCGTCGAGTCTGTACAAAATGTGTATGTGTTCGAAGTATAACAATACATTAAAATTGTTGCATGCCCCTGCACAAAAATACGAGATGTCCAAAGATTTTTTTTCATTTTCGTTTTAAATGAAATAAGTACAAAAAAAGTTTTTAATAAAATACGTTAGAGTTGTATAAAATCTCAATTTTAACAGTCGTTTGCGCTTTTGTACTTATCGGTAGGTTTCCATTTCCACAAATCTGATGTCACCGCATTGACATTGTGTACTAATAATATTAAAACATTTATTGAATGTGTGATTACGTTGAGAGTATGACGTGGTTATCGTTTTACGTCTTGGGATAAATTTCTCACTGCAATGAAAATTACTGTTCCGATTTCGTACACTCGATGTATGAACTAGAATACTTTCGATGCATAAAATGCGCACCGCACAGCCACACCCATACGCCACTACACACATGCGTATATCAGTACGACATGTGGCATTTATCGTTTGTGGACGATTTTTAAATGTATCCGCTTTCAGCACTTGGCTGGTAATAATAATCGCGTTAATGTTGTTGTAACTAAATTTGTGTCACTAAAATTAAAACCAACAATAACGAAAACGTTCATAATGTATTAACATTATGTGTACTATTGCAGCCGATTTGTCTACGTTATATGTGTATAGTTTTATAGGATATTTAAGATTGTAGAAATTCATGCGCGCGCACATTATATTAAATTACACATAATTGAGTATTGACACCAACGAAATATTATATATATACGCACGTATAAATGATAAGGCATTGCGTAACCATAAAAGACGTATTGTAAAGTAAACGCACAGGGTTGGCCTCAGATCCGATAAAATGCCTGTGTTTGCGTTACATTTAATCGACCTTGACTTCTGTTTAATTATTAATTTTCCTCCGGCGGACGAACGTCTTCGACAATTATATATTATTATCACCGTACATTCGATAACGCACGTTGCGTGTACACGATGAGCGGCTATCGTAAAAGTGTATGTATAGGATAATATTCGTTTTCGTGAAAGATCACCGATACTCTCTCGAATCGCAGGTCATAAATGCGTGATAAATATTTATGTTTTCGTCTTGATGATATTGAATACGAGTGTATGACAACCGCTGATAATAAAAACCCAAGAAATCTTTTGCTAAGGTCAATATGGTATCGCGACGACAGCATGTATTATTATTATAATTTGAATTTTCCATCTTCGGACGACCGTCATTTATTTTTAATTATAACACTGTGTACAACGTGATGTCCGCAAGATTTTGTCGTTTGATTCTTGACTCTTTAATATTTACGATTATAAACCTCGTGGACATCGCTGTAACGTTTTAATTATCCGCATTTGCTCACCAGCAGCAAATTATATTATAACATTTTATATTAATAATATACAATATACGTTTGTTTTATTATAATTTCATTGCGGATGGAACATTATTATCGATTAACGAGTCTGAATTCTGAATCAGATCAGAAACCGACAGAGTGTAGGTATTTATGTACTGTGCAAGCGGATTTTATAAATATATTCTGCATGGGCATATGTTCTTTAATTTTATTTTTGAGATATTGTATTCACAACGCTTGTGCATATTAATATACTTTCCATGAACACTTTATAAAAATGTAAAGAAAACCATAATTTTTCTTCACTGCAATATAATATAACATACCTTTTACAATTATTAAGTTATTCTAAAATTTTCCTATGTTTGTATGTATATAAAATTAAGAGTGATTTGGATTAATCGAATCAAATATGCGACATAATTTATAATACATTAAAAATAAATGCATTACATTAATTACCATATAATACAAGTGCAATTGTTTTTTAAATTACTCGATTATAATTATACATCAAACTATTATTATTAGGCTAAAACCATCTCATTAGAGCTTAATAATTCACTGCGCGATGTGTGTGTGTTTAGCAATATATACTTTACTGATGTAAAATAACGTTTTATCGATGATCATAATGCAACGAGGTTAGTTTACATACCTTTACGAACAATAGTTTTTAAAAATACGTTGAAATATCGACTGTTTCGTATATTAACAAATATAAAATATATTACACCGGGATCTAGTAAATAAATAATACATTACCGATAAAAATATTATACGGTAAAAGGCAAATCGTTACAATCGTACTAGGTATAACAATAATAACTAACTAATTATGGATTTGGTTAGTATACACGTACGTTTCGGCAATAAAAATCGACCGTTTTCCGTGTCCATTCGATGCCATTTCTATTTCTGAACGTTAGTCCATATAATTTCCCATAATGCGTACACACATACCATGGATATTGACCATAGGGGAGCAGTTTACAGTTTTTATGTAGACAAACAAAATACACGCTATGGGAGCAATGCTGACGATAAGGGGGTATGGTTGGCCAGGTGAAACACAGCCGATGTGTTTTTCATTTTCCCGTGGCAGCCATTGGTCCTATACATATGAACGTATAGAACGTGCGGTGGTGTTCGAAACCGTAAGGGAAAGGGTAAGAGCGATTTTAATATTGTGAAAGCAATTACATTTTTAATACTATATGTACCTTTGAATGTTTTTATTTGCGTCGCAGTCGATTAAATTCCGTATTCATATACATTTTAATTTATTTTTTTATTTTATTTTTTTTTTCTTGAAAACAACTCTTCTGATACACCGTAAGACAATACAAATAATACTTTAACTCAATCAAACCTATAACTTTACTAAATAAAAAAATACATTCATTTCTGGTTTGTACAATAATATTGAGTTTATAATAAGAAAATATTACTAACACTAATAATAATGCCCCCAAGATATTTATATTACATTTGAGAGTTTTAATCAATTGAGCATATATGTCTAACAATATTCATTTCGACAAGTTTAATAAAAATTGAGGTACTTACTTAAAATACAATTAAAAAATAAATAAAAATTATTTTCTGCATTACAGACGTTTTTATACTAAAATTCACTTTACAATTTATAAGTATTGAAAATGTCTTTTTATATATTAACCTCATCAAATTAATCTAATAATACTTATTAATTAACTTATTATTTAAAATTTTTATTTATTTTAATAAAACCGTAAAAGTTGCAGTTTAAGATTTTAATTTTTAAATACGTTTTAAGAAACACTAATTAATACATTTTTCGTAAAATTGTAGAAATACAGGTACTCTATAAAATATAGAAGAAATTATTTAAATTTAAGTTTTATGTCATGAAATAATTTGACCGGAAACTTAATTGTATGCAGATTGTATTAAGATATCAAAAACTGCAAACGTTTTATTATTTTGCAATCAAACTTTACGTAAAGTTATCGTGAATTCAATGTTTACACATTTTTCATTGTATTTTCTTTCATACCACTCAAACTATTATTATAATATTCCTGAAATTATAATGAGATTAAAAAATATGCTTGACATTTAAAATTTCATTTATTTAAATTGTATGGATTTTATAATAAAAAAAAAAAATAATAATAATAATTATATGTTAGTGGGTACTAAAATTAAGTTTTATTAATTTAGAAATAAAATAAATATTCAGAACTATTTTTATCGTTTTTGATTAGATGTCGACCATTTTTAAGAAAAATATTATAAACGCAATAATCGGATACATAGCATATCCAATATACACTGAGAGTGTTAAATTAATCGCAAATTCATTAACAAATGTTATCGTTTGTTTCGATGTTATAGAAAAATGCGGTATCGCAGAAGATGGCAGTCTCAGGGTAAATGGCAAAGGGAAGAAGATGCGAAAACCTAGAACTATATATTCGAGCTTACAATTACAACAGCTCAACAGACGATTCCAGCGGACACAATACCTAGCATTACCCGAACGAGCTGAACTTGCCGCATCCCTAGGACTTACTCAGACTCAAGTAAGTTTTTATTTCATGTTCTTATTAGTATTAAGTTGTATATACATATAATGTATTTGTATAATTCGTATAGTATTATTACGTAACTTAAGTTATTATTAATATTATTATTGTTTAAAAAAATAGTATCTATATTTAAAAAAATATAAAAATTAATAGCTTAAGAATACAATCGATTAACATTTTTCAAAGTCATAAAAATTTTTACAATCGTAATATATATTTTTAATTTATTATATCTTTTAGTGTTATCCGGTGGACACTTTAAATTAAAAATTTTGATTTCTAAGCGTACTCAAGGGTTTGCCGGAGGAGAATATTGTTTTCGTTGCCCTTCCCATTACCCTGTATAAATTATAGACGTATATATTACAAGTTAATATTCATACGCTTAGTTTATAGGTACCGACTAAGAATTCACACTCAATCATAGATATAAATCTTAACTTATAGTGCACGACATAATAACGCACAATAGTAGAAAAATATTCGTTAAATATAAATATAAATATTTATTTTTTTAATTCATAATACTTTATAGGTAACTAAATGTATACTTATGTATTCATTGGTATAATATTCTTTTGAAACTTAAGCATTACTAACAATTCAATAATACAGTTATAAGTTCCGTATGCTTGATTAACATCTTATATAATTTTTGTACATTACATTTATAGTTTTAATTTATTTATACGTCTTCCTATATAAAATATGCCGGCTGATCTTAATGTAGATGTTACATCGTTTTGGTTTTATATACTTTATTTGCTTTTAGGATTTATGCCAGAAAATTTATTTTCTCGTTTTATTTACAAAATAAAATGTTAATTTTCTGTATACAATAAGAATTTGGGCGTTAATTATACAAATGATAATTTCTAAATATAAATTATCCCTAATGATATTCTAAAGTGGCTTAAGAGAACATGTTTTATATAATCGGGATATCTTTGCGTAAGCTAATGCGTGCACTGTTCGCTGTCGGATTCATAAGCTTACTGTTTTTGCGTAAAACAATCGGCGAAACCTTTGGAGTATTTTTATTAGACTTTAACTATTCAAACAATATCAGTCTGTTATATTAATTGATTTGCAACCAGCAAGCTATGATTATCCTAACCTGCTATTCGTCACTTATGTTATTAATTGTGGCTTCACTGTTATGCAGGAGAAATACTTTTATTTTTTATTTAAAAAAAAATGAAACATTTATCGGTAATCATGGTATGATCAAAAGTAAGTTGCATGATTAATAAGTGTACACATATTATAAGTATACACATTTAAGAAATATTTATATATATATATCATTAACTTATATTCGTACAATAAATGTGAGTTAATGTGCTTTTTTCTGTTTTTATTAAAATGTATAAGGTATATTGATCAACGTTTGGCATTCACTATACTTAAGTATTTGTCTATGCATGAGTTACATATTAAAGACAAATTAAAAGTGATCTTGAGATCATTTTAAACACCTTTTAATAACATTGTAAGAATTTTGGAGATTGAGAATATGTATTCTGACAAAGATTATGCACAAACCATATACTTCCAGGCAGCTGTTTCCAAAATTTTACTACCTATGTGTTCTTAGAAAATAGTTTGAGTCGTCCGGAATGCCTGAAATACAACATAACATATATTCGACACGTACTCTTCAATTCAATTGTTAGTGTTCATGGATTTTCACAGCCCAAAATAACACGCTCGGAATTTTCTTCTCCATATTTTCTACACAACCTACAGAAATTTGAAGTTAATAAACAGCCAACATCTGTACCCGCAGTGTTATAATATGTAGCATAATAAAACGTTCGGCGGCAAAATTAGGTAGAGACTGATTATAATATTAGATTACAAAATCATATCTTCCACGTGTATATATTGAAATTAATCACGCCCATTTTCTGCCTTTAAATTTTCAAACTCTTTTAAAATGAGATAAAACGATACACGATGCAGTTATCGAACGCACCATCCAAATACTGCAGAAGAATGAAATAATAATAATAAAAAAAAAATATATATATACATATATAAAAGAAAGATTTACCAATTCAGCTATTTATACGCCGCCGTCGCGTCGTGTGGGTTGTTGATTAATGATAAATTATAAAAGACCTAGATAAAAAAAAATATACCTATATTATTATTATTTTATACCTCGTACAAATACAGCGGTGGCGTGTCCGGTAAATGTGTAAAACACAATTTATTGTTTCTCCGAAGATAGTGGTGGCGCATAACATAAACTTAAATGAAACATTAAAAACTCATCAAATTCAGATATTTTATATAAACTTTTCATACACACACAAGCACATTAAGCAATTATCGTTTTGTGGTATTTGCGTAATGTGGTAGTATAATAGTGGTATCAGTGACGGATACAGGATTTTCTTTTTTTTTTTTTTTTTGGGTGGGGGATTGAAAAATATTTTTCCCTGATAATGAAAATTATTGATTTTTAATACATATTTTTCCTGATTGAGAGAGGGTGAATACCCCCTCCCTGGATCCACCACTGAGTTGTATATATAGGTATACTGGTGTTGGTGACAGTCTAAAAGGGTGTTCGATTTAAAGTAGAAAGTTTGAACGGATATACATTCATGGGTATCTGATATAGAGTGAGGAAATATCTTAAACACTAAAATGTACTCGGAAAACATATTTTGGGGGGAAAAAGAGACGAAGAAAAGACACGGAAAATGGTTAGTTTCGATGCAGGAAAATAGAACCACGATTCCTGCTCCGCCTCCCTAAGGTACTGTTGGCTGTGTCGGATGAGACGTAGGTGCGGTGAGGGGTTTGTCGTGGTTCGCGGTGCCACGAGTAAGAAAAAATAATATAATAAAAAGGATAAAAAATCGTATTTATAGACAGCGGTGGCACGGTTATACGTTGTACGTTATACATGTACATAGTATATATATTGTGTCCACCGTCGCGCTTACGTGACTACGGGAATTTCAAGGATACAAATTCGATATGCCGATATTTCTGACGCAAGAAACGAGAGTGTACCTTATATATATATATATATATATATATATATTTATATCGTATAATTTTAGAAAGATGGCTCAACCAACGATACGCGGCGATTAAAGAGGCTGAGAGAGAAAGAGAGAGCTTGAGAGAGGTACCGACGTGTAGGCACGTAGCGGGAGTGAGCGAGAGAGAGAGAAAAAATTGACACGTCTGAGTACGTATGTATCTAGGATACAGATAGATAGAGAAGAGGAGAAAACATTACGTTTTATATATATACAGTCGGAAAAATCAGAATTTCCTTCCGATCCGTTCCGATACAATAGAGACGTGTCGAATTATGTCTTTGATATCACGCCGATAAATGAACGAGAACACAAAATAAAACCTAAAAAAATAGCGCCTCGGCTCATCATTGGTTGTGTGAACGACGTTTTTTTTAACGGCTATCTCGTCTTGCGCGCGCGTCTTCCGAATCCAATCGCCCATTGCGTGCGTTTAACCGTACACTGTTAATAATAACAATAATCGTCGCACAAAAAAGAGGAATTGATAAAAAAAAATTCTCCCGCGGAAATCTTTGAAAACCCAAGAATCGGATGTATGCATAATATGCGCGAATGAGGTATATACGCTCTTGATTTTTCAATTTTTTCGCGAACATGATGTCCGTGTTTATCCAGGGTTTACTACATTTCAATATAGTTAGACAATTTTCCACATTTTATTGTACGGGAAAATCGTATTTACTTATTATATTTTTAAAAAAAATAGAGTATTAATTAACACCAAGATACGTATATGTTTATAGTCATACGCGTGTGGGTGATAATAGTTTCGAATTCAATCGCAAATCGACCCTCGTATGTGTAGGCTCGTATTGGATCAATTGGAAAAACTACTTGTACGTCGAACAGCTGAGTATTTACGTGACCCATCAATCTAAAAACGTCTTTTCTTTTCAATTTTCACGTATGATATTATTATACTTATTCTAACTATATATTCGGTTGACAAATAAATATATCAATCGTTGCACGGCGTAGTTAACAGATGCTGGGATTTATTTTGGAATTACTTTAGAAGAAGCAAAATTATTTATATCTGACGTTTAAATAATTTTGTTTAATATGTCGACTTTAAAGCGAATTGTCTGTTAAATAGATTAGAGGTTAGCTTCATACATCAAAATCCACGATTATTGTATAAAATAATTTTAACATTTATGATGTAACATTTATTTACATTTATCTATATGAAAACTAAAACATTTTGAATTATAAAATTGTTCACGGGGATAAGACAGTATTAACTTTCGAGAGACGTCCAAATGTGTTAACAGAAGTCACGTATTTTTTTTTTATTTATGTACATATACACGAGTATATATATGTATACTACATACCCGTAAATTTAAATTTGCGTCATATAAGTATTGTATACCTACAATAAAAAAAAAAATCAAAATTGATCGTTTTGCAATCGAAATTCTCATATGAGAAATATATTTATAAATATACGAATAATTTTCGAAATTACGTTTCTTGCTGTATTTTTTATTGTAGCAAATTATAATTGTAACAATGTATGGTAAAATTATATTTCTATTTCCTGTTGACAAATTAATACTAATGTAGACCCCATAGTGTCCGTGCGTGTGTGTGTGTATTCGTGTAAAATTGTATGAATTATTAAATAAAGCATGGAGTGATTCACGTCATTAGGTTCATTCAAATCATTTTTTTTAAATTTTTAAATTCTAAATCCTTTTATTATTGTTTATTTTGTTGAAATGCGCTATATCGATTATTATTGTACACGTATTGTGTTGATGTTCTTTTATACTTCATCCGCGTGTGTGTAGAGGTGTAAATTATGTGACACTGTCTGTATTGACTCAATGTATATATGTATGTGCATATTTATATATAGATATTAGTTGGAAAAGTCGATATACGTAATGTTGTACACGTCGCGCGAAAGGCGTTACCCGCGAA